TTTTCTGGCTTGTTCTATTGCTTTAGCTTAGAAATCAACTATATGTTTGCACATATTCGATGAGAAATCTCAAAAGCGAGCTAGGAAGAGGAAGTAAGAGAGGGCGTAAGAGCAGTGGGAATGAGAACATAGAGGAAATCCTAACTTTACTGGTTCTTTACCTCTTTTCTTGAGGTGGAAATTCAGTTTGACATTTCTCGATGACTCTCATTCCTATTGTTATTAGGCGCTCCTTCCTATTCCTTTTTGTTTGCTAAATAACTTTAGGAAATAAAAGAAAATATACATATGCATATATCCATATGATATGAGATGTCTATTATGAGACATGAAAATGAAGAAATGGGACCTAAGAGTAGTGGACATGGAAACATGGCGGAATGCTAAAGCTATCTCAGTTCCTAGTGCAACACAAAAAGAGGCGTTGGTTGAGTTTTCTTCATGCCTCCCATGCTTATTATTCTTTGGTGTTCCTTGCTCTTTTTGTTTGGTTGTAGAACATGAAACAAATTCATAGTATAATATGATTTGATTGAAGTTCGTTCACCCTACATAGTTAGATTTCAAATTTTGGTGTTAAATGAGACACATGTTTAGTTCCAGATTATTTTGAAAATGGGTTCTTATCATGTAAAAGCAATAAATCTCCCTTCTATATTGATCGGTGAAATATACATCTCTATATCTGAAAGAGGGCGTTTGTAGAGATATATACAATCACATTTTCAGAGTAAACAAGATGATGAACACAACTTTAACACATAGAATGGCACACTAGTTCATTATGTTGAACTCGTGTTGGAGACTACATCACATCAATGACACACCACTGTTGAACAATGTAGTTAAGAGTACGAGCATAAATCAAGGTGCAAAACATGGTAATCTGCACACAAAACATGAAACAATATATGCATTGCGGATTATTTTTATCATCAATTCCTAATGAGTTCACACGTGAGAGTGAACTAATAGAAAGCTAGCGACAAGCAACCTTGAATGCAACAAGATATATCTGCAGCTTCAAAAATTATAAACTCCAATGGATTTTGTACACTTGACCATAAAATAGTCTTGTTCTTTTATATATTGCTTCAGTGTGTGGGACAGGGCTTATTTCCCGACTCTTGAACCTTGCTGGCTATTCGCATATCAACCTGGTAATTTAATACTTGGACGGATTGTGGCAAAGCTACAAGGTTGAATTGAGAAGTACTTCGCTAGGTGGAATCAATACCATCCTCTCTTCAGAATCTTGTTCTTCCTTTGTCTCCGAACCTTGTTATGAAAATACTATATGTGTAGTGAGTGTAGAAAAAAATATGTTATTACGATACCTTCATGTGTTTTCCACCTTGGGATCAAAGGTGATGGTTTCTTTGGAGATATGTTTTCCCTATATTTCTCTCGTGCCATGAAGTTGCGTACATCATGCAGAATTTGGATACTAAATTACTTAATGAATAATAGGAATATACGCATTTTATCTTGGTAAAACAAACTAAATAAATTTTGGTTTTTATGATATGAGTGATGTCTAATCATGTGTTAATCACATTATGTCCTTGGTGCAGCTCATGGCGATGTTCAGGCAACGCAGTGGCTGTTTTGAAGATAGCATAGATAACAGAATTAAGAAGAGTTGGTATTATACTTTCTTTATGAGAGATAAGGTTTAAGGATGGTGCTCTTCTTTGCATTTACCAAATGTTGTAGATATGGACACGACTCTGCAGAAAGAGATAAGTTGCAGTCTAGCGAAACTATATATATAATTGCACGTTTGTGACGGAGGGTACAAAGTCTGATACCAAGTTCCAAACTCAGGACTTGACAACCTAACTGGTGAAAATGTACAGATTTGACCCTTTTCTTAACTTCAGTACCAAAGAAATCAGATCTGAAAATATTCAAAAAAGCATGTTCTTTTTCGGCATTTGCTACAACCCTTGTTCGAGCAAACCATCGGGTTCCTCCACTGGCCCATGAAGCGTGTTTCAAAAACATGTCATTAACCGAAAAAATTCGATACATAAAAAGGTAGAAACGAAACACACAAAGAATAAAATTTGTCATGCTCTAATTTGTAAAACAAATAGAATTGGTCCAATGAAAACTTCAAGAAAAAAATGTTTTATCTGGATAAGCCCGACAAATTTGCCATGGTCCAAACACTATTTTTTATATATAAAAGACAAAAATGCTATCTCTTAATAATAAAAATGCCATATTATTAGTAATAAAACCTTCATGTGCAAAAACAAACTTGACTTGCGAATATTAGAAAATTAAAATGCCATCTGCTTAATAATGAAAATGCCATCCTCTTAATAATAACAAATAGCATGTTATTAATAGTTAATATGTTGTGTACAAAAATAAACTTGTGAACAATGGGGAAAATATTTAAATTTTCCATGTGATAAAGTTCAAAAGATTCTAAAAACTGGCATGTTATTTTTTTTAAATGCCATGTACCTAAGGAAAAACATATTTTGCAATCTTGTAAAGAAAGACAAAAAAAAGAGGGATCGGGTGCGCGATAGTGTTTTGAATAGGATAATGTTTGCTAGGTTTTGTACCACAGCGAACGAGTTTAAAATCTGACGTTTCTCCTATCCCCTACGCCAAGATTCATGCAACGAATCTGACAGAAGAGAGCATGTTTGCCGGGATTGGCCCCCGGCACACGGTCGTCAGTTAACATTTCCGTATTTTTATGTTATTAATTCATACTTTCCAATTATGTTGTTTTCCCTTTTTCTAACACTTACCAAATATGAGTGTTGGCCGACTTATTACCTCATTGAATCTTTATCCTTCATTAGAAATAACGGACGGTCAATAATAGATGGTTAGATTTTCGGAAAAACTAATGCCCATACGTGTGGGCGTTTGCACATCGCCCACACGCCTCTATCACCACTTATTTTGTCACGTATGAGCAGATGACATCAGCAGAAATCTTTTTGGTTTTTGGCTTAAAATGTTTTATCTCCTAATAAAAAAATGAATTAAAAATCCATTTTCATCATTAAATCCGTCTCTATGAGATCTTCAAAACTAGACCCCATATTGATATGTTTCGACGAATTTTTTTTTTGTTCAAAAGTTGCCATGATGTTTACACTGTAGTTGCCATGGTGCTTAAACTAAAGTTGCCATGTGGCAATTTTAGTTTGTAGATCATGGCAATTTTAGTTTTTGATGATGGCAATTCCAGTACTTTGACCATGAAAATATTTTTTGCATGAACCATGACAATTTTAAGTGCATGTATCATGGCAATTTTAGTTTATGGTGCATGGCAAGTCTAGTTTCTTAATTCTTCATTTTATAATGTCAAAATTTACTTTTTAATATAGAAGAAAATAGCTGAAACATAACATGACAACTTTAGTGTAAACATCATGGCAATTCATGTGCAATAGGCATGGCAACTTTTAACCAAAAAACAAATTCGTCGAAATATATTGATATGAGATCTAGTTTTGAAGTTCTCGTCGCGAGGAATTTAATGATGAAAACGGATCTTCAATCGGATTTTTCATTTAAGAGATAAAACATTTTAAAAACTGAAAATCTAAAAAGATTTTCAAATGATGCGGTGACATGGCGTAGTCTGTATGTTATAGGGCGTGTGGGCGGGTTTGGCTCCCACCACACATGTGGGCGTTAGCGTTGTCCTAGATTTTTTGTGATGGAATCAGTCCATCGGGTTTAATTCCTAAATTTATAGGTCTGCTCCCATATTTCCTGGATTTATTTCATACTCTCTGTGACTATTCTTTCGACTTCTCAATCTTGAGATATGTCAGCCCACCTCTCGGAGGTGCTTGTAGGAAAGAGTATGTGTGTGTCGTGATCATCTGTGACTATCCTATCTTTCTCAGAAAAAAAGAGGAAAGTAACACGAATTAGCCTCGATCTTCATACCGTTTCTTCCACTGCACAACGTGCCATCAAGACTTTTTTTAGAAAGTTAATGTGTATTCATTCATTCCATCAACTCCTCTCTTGCCGGTCAATTCTTTGGCTCTCCAGCAAGGCAGGTAGAAGGAGATGAGAGGGGTTATGTTAGATATAATCTTGCCCAAACGGACAGTACTACGCAGCCGCCGCCTCCTCTTCTTTCAAAAAAATGTTAGGATGCGTGCCTCTCGTGGATGCCGACGCATGTCCGTCTCATCTTTAGTGGCCCTAGGGTCATGGGGCGTGGCGAATCTTGACGAGGGCCGGTGGAAGGGCTCCGTTGTTAGTTATTTCTTTAAATTTTGATAGGGTTTGTGTCCTGCTCAGGAAGTTGAGACGGCGAAGGCTTCCTGAAGATGAAATAAAGGTCTCCCCGCCTAGCCCCTGTTTCGGTGATGGGTCTAGCATCTTTGGTGGACGTGTGGAGGTGTGTCTCCGGCGGATCTATCCTCGGTGGATTTGTTCGGATCTGGTTGTTGTCCGTCTACGTTCGTGTGTCTTCGGGATGGATCCTTTTGATCTACGTTATTCTTCATTGGCGGCGGTTGGTGCGCTGGTCCTATGGGGCCTTAGCACGACGACTTCCTAACTGTCTACTACAACAAGCTGTGTCCGACTCCGATGAGGGAGGGGCGATGACGGTAGCACGCCTTCGGCTCGCTTCAGTTTTTGTAGTCGTCGCTAGGTAGTCTACGAATCTGGATGTAATTTTCATTATTTTTTATGTTCGTTGTACTGTCATGATAGAAGATGAATAGAGTTCTCGTAAAAAAAAATATTTGGCACTCCTTTCTATTCATTTGAGCACACGGCGTTTTCGATCGGAAGAACAAAAGACAGCTTCACGATTCATGGCTCTGTTCGTTCTTGAAAATGTTTGATTTCGTCAGGTTTCAACCTATCTCTAGTTTCTTGTGTACGACACACACCAAGTCTCCACCGCCTAAACTAAGTTCACTGACGAGACGATACAACCAACACACACACACGCATAGCCCAACGAAAAAGAATGACTTGATCGAGCATGGCTACTTGGCTCTCAGACCTTGACATTGCCATTGCCGTCGTTGTGGTCGATCTGCTCGTCGATGTTCCTGACGGGTCCCGTGAACCACTTCCTGGCGTCGACGACCCACCAGAGCATGATCAAACCCAGGACGACGCCGAGCGCGATGGGCGCGTAGTTGAAGGTGTCCATCTTTATGGGGTACACGGTGGGAAGCAGGAAGACGGAGCAGGTGTAGCAGATCCACAGGAACGCCACGAGGCAGACGGGCCGGCTGGCTCCCCGGAGGTAGAAGGGGCCGGGGCGGAAGTCCTCCTCCCGCATCACCATCCGGGCGAAGATGGGCACCGCGTAGCCCCCCACCCAGCCGATGGTGGCGATGGAGGTGATGGCCGTGAACACCACGTTGATCCACAGGATGGGCAGGCCCAGCAGCGCGCACACGGCGGCGCACAGCCACACGGCGTTCCCGGGCACCTTGCGCGTGGGGTGGATCTTGCGCCACACGCTGGAGAAGGGGACGCCGCGGTCGCGCGACAGCGCGTACACCACCCGGGCGGCGCTGGTGGTGATGGAGAGGCCGCCGAAGAAGAAGGAGCCCCAGATGATGAAGAGCAGCACGATGGCGCCCGTGGAGCTGCCGTACCGGCCGTGGAACGCGTCGTAGAGTATCTGCGCCGGGACGAAGGTGCCGGCTGTCTCGTTGGTGGGGTCGTACAGGTAGCTGAAGTCCTGGATGCTGAAGGTGAGGGCGAGGATGTAGACCCAGCCGAAGACGGTGATGATGCCGATGCTGGAGAGGATGGCGATGGGGCCGTTCTTGTCGGCGCCCTTGGTCTCCTCCGTCAGGTGCGCCGCCGCGTCGTACCCGTACAGGGAGTACTGGCTCACCAGGAGGGACAGGACCACCGCGTAGGCGCCGCTGCTGATCCCGGTCACCTCCGGCGTCGTCTCGAAGTGCGTGAACACGTACGACGCCGGCTGCGTCGTCTTCGCCACCAGCGGCAGCATGATCACTATGACCGTGCCGCCGACCACCTGCACAGCATCAATGAAACTGTCATTTTTTCTGCGGTGTACCTCTTTCAGTCGAAAGCATTCTATTTTATGGACAACTTGGGAGGACCTGCCACCACATGGAGATGACGTCGAGGAATGCGATGACTTCCAAGGCGAAAGTGTTGAACACGGCCCAGATGAAGGTTAACCCAAGGTACATGACGAGGAACAGCCAGCGAGGGGCCAGGTAGCCACCGCCTTTGTTGGTGCCGGTGCAGAGCAGGATTATGCTCTGCAGCACCTGGGATCCTGCATAGGCCTGCAACAATGAAGACGCAAAATTGACACAGCAGACAGGAGATTTACTATCTGGTTCAAGCAAATGCTAGAAGAAAGAACAAGAACGAGCAGGCAGGTTTCAGACTTGCAGTTATGATTTCCGGGTTAACATGAAATCAAATTGAATGAGCATACCTGTGTACCAATTCCGGCAATGAGGCCTATGGCCTCCAGCCAAGCGCAGCACCAGGATGCCAATGGACCCCAGACCGGGCCAGCGAGATGAGCAGCCCAGAAATAGAGAGAGCCAGTTGTCTGTTGTCAAACAAGAGAAAAAAAAAACAGGTTGAAAGCAGAGCACGTCAGCCGTGATCAGAAGCAACGAGTTTTTTTTACCCTGAATATAACACAAGTCATACGGCACAGCTACAGGAAAATACATTCAAGATACGGTCATTGCGACAATGCCACTCGAGAGTCAGAACTAAATTGCAAGAATTTTGCGGCAATAGTATAATTTTGACTAACCAAACCCAACTGAATTCTACAAGCAGAGATAAACCGAGCACCAAAATCCTTGAATCTGGGAACGGTGGCATGCAGGGAAGTTCCGGGAAGGTGTACGTGTGCTTACGGGGAAGGAGGAGCAGATCTCGGCCATGGCGATGCCGACGAACCAGGTGAAGAAGGAGACGACGACCCAGCCCCATACGAGGCTGGCCGGCCCGGCGTACTGGAGGCTGCTGCCGTACAGCGGCGTGATCCCCGTGAAGAGCGTCATCGTCGAGAAAGAGATGGCCAGCGTCTTGAACAGCGTCTGCACCAACAACACATGCAACGAAAGATCTCCATCTCTTGAGAAACCAGGAAAAATAGAAGGCGGCAAAACGAAACGCAATTGGCAAGCCGGTCATGCAAGATCACATCACGCCCTCTACGGCACGGACGAAGAAAATTAGCCAACGCCGCCGCCGCCACAGTTTTACCGAAACACGCAATGTAACCAGCATCTCATCTCATCGGAAAACACAGGTGGTTGCAAGCCGCAAGCGGCGAATCCTCCTCGCCGTCGCCGGCGAGTCCATCTTTGCCACAGATACGTAGAGAGCCGTACAAACCCATTTTGCGGGGTAGAGAAAATGGAAGGAAATGATGAGGGGCCGTATAGTAGCCGAGCTCATTGAGGCGCTTCTCGCCGGAGTCCACCACCTGTGCCCCGGCCATGGCGAGTACCTACCACCCCCGCCGCCCTTCTCCAAGGTTTCCCGGCCCCTCCTCGATTTGACCAGTACGCGGTGATGCCTGCCTCGGGACTCCGTGTATCGGGAAGGGTGCGGAGGAGCAGGGAGGGAGGGGGTGAAGGGAGCGGGCCTATATAGGCTTTGCGGCGGAGCGGCAAAAGTCGGTCCTCTCGTGACAAAGCTCCCTTCCCTCTCCCTCTCGTGTGCTGGGTAAGAGAGGAGCGTGGGCTTCGGCGTTCGTTGGCTTGGTGGTTCGTTCGCGTTCGTTTATATGATCCGTGTGCTGCGCTGAATTCCTTGCCTTGGCTTGGTTTGTTTATAGGGTTTCGGGCTGTTTGCCCGACTCTATCAACTCTCTCAGTTGACTGCTAACGGGATTCTCGGAGTCGGAGGCAGCTATCCTCTCTCCCTCTTGTGTATACTCGGAAAATGGCATGTGCACCACACTGGCATTGATTGTCTCTAAGTTAACTGCAAAAAGAAAAAACAATGGGGTTTTGCTCTTAAAACATGTGTAAATATATGTTGTACGTGTATTTCTAACAAAAGGCGCATATTTCACTCCATATATGCTCTACTAGCGTATACGTACGTGTCAAGTGCTAGCAATTATAAAAATAATTCTGGTGCCAGTCTGTTAGAAAAAGAAAACTGGAAGGTGCATATGCTCCTATAATTTTCTGTATTAGTAGTTAACATTGTAAAACTTTCCTTATATGATTTTCTGCTTTAATGTCGCTATATTTACCTCAGGAAAAAAATCGCTATATATATTTTCCTTTTTAGGTCTTTGTCTGCAGAGATGTAAAGTATATACTACCCCCACGCGGTTGAATGAGGTGATGGTGATATTAGCCATTGGAACATAACAAATCAATGGCTCGTATCATCAATCATGAACATTTTTCCCCGAAACCCTAAAACATGTGGTGGCGCCTACGGCGACTAGGGTTTGACGCGAACCATCTTCCGGCGGCTTCCATCTACCGATGGCCTCTTGATCGTGGGTAGTGAGGGGGTTGTTGGACACCACGCATTCAGATCGTGTAGCTTTACATTTTACTGGTTAGTAGCTTCGGTTCTTTTGCCATTCGACATCATGGCTTAGGCAAGGGCGACGACGGTGCCAACTAGCAAAGCTTTGCGACACGGCGTTCTGCCCTTTGGTGGGTAATGGATCCTACTGCTAGTTTGTTCAAGTGGGGATTGCGTGGCGGAGGCAATCCCTATGCTAGACTTGTGTCCTTAGGCTCCGCCGTTGCGACGACGTTTGCTCCAGTGTCGGTGTGGAGCTTGAGAGGTAGTGCAGAAGTGGATGTAGACAATGGTCTACGTCGATGGCAACTGGAAGACGGTGGATCATATATTGGGGTTGTGGTTGGTGGCTGGCCTATATGGTTTTCTCCTCCGACATCATCGTCAAGTAGGGTGCCAAATCTAGAGTTCGATGGTGTGTCTGGTTTGCTACCCGGCTAGATTCTTTCAACGGTAATGGCTTCGTCTTTGGTAAGCTAGTTTGGAGATCAAAAAAGGTGCATATTAGCAATGGAGCTGCGTGGAGCTTAGTGAAGAGGTGCTATGACACATTTTTTTTGGTGGTTGTTGCGGTGGTGCCGGAGGCAGGTGCATGCTACTCTTTGGTCTTGATTGTGTTTTGCTTTCTTGGTTGGTGGTCCTTTGTGCAAAGGTTAGAGTTTGATTATCTTTACAGTTTTGCCAAGTCAATGTTTACCTGACTTGTAACTTAATATTTATTATATGAATGAGACACATATTATCATGTAGAAAAACGACTTCTATCATCACACAGTGTCTTAAAAAATTCTTTAAGAAAACATAACAAACATTTCTGCAAAAAGTATAGGAAGTTTGATTTGTAAATAAATGCTAATATGAGTGCACAAGCTAGAACTGAGCCCAGCTAGACAAAAATCATCCATCCATATTTTCCTTTTTTTGTGAAATGACATTGAAGGTGAATACCACAATAGTCACATGCCGCTAGTAGCAAGATCCAGTAACTACCGTGGGAAGATCTGTTCAGGGAAGAAAATCAAGTAGTTGAAAGTACATGTAGTCCCCATGTTTGGTTTTGGAAATTAATGACAATCCTTATGGACTAATGTTTGCATTGAGATATACATTTTTGAAAGTCCCATTGGCAAAGCATGAAGAATATTGGATGAATTGAAGGATGTAATCCATCAACACAAACATATGCATTGAGACTTGATAATGAATGTCAATTCCTACAAAGAAACAATGGTTGAATGGTATCAAGTTATATATGAAGGTTTGTCCCATGGGTAATGCATTAAGAAGATTGAATGAATTCGGAATGAACGCCATCTACATAAAGTTGTTCATCGAGATTGAGGTCAATGACCGAATCATGATGGATCAAGTTCTTGTGGGAATGATTAAAGAGAAGAATTCCCATATGGCTTGAAGATTAGAATCATCATGCTCTCATATGTTCAGTCGTTTATGATTATATCTTGAAGCCAGTAATTCAAGTGAATAATTCATTGTACCTCTCAAGAGTTCAATATGGCCTTCAAGGCATCAAGATTAATCATGAAGCAAAGATAAATGTAACCTAGATGAAGATAGAAGATTGAATCCAAATATGGTCAACAAGAGAAAATGATGTACCACATGGGATTATGTGGTTTGGTAAGTAATTGTCAATTATGCTTGGTGTACTAACCCATACTATGTGTTTTTTATATCTATGTGGGTTAGGTGATTCTCATGGGCTTGCATCAAGAGAAAGATTCCTAGTGTCCATGAGAGGGTGACATCAAGTAATGGTGATCATGGTTGACAAGGGCAAGTTCAAGATAAGCATCCTAAGGGATTACATGCTTGAAGTTTGTTGATGATCACATGATGGACATGTGAAGATGGAATGCAATGAAATGCTCCCTGCATGGCTTATGGGGGAGTTATTTGTAGTCTTCGCCAAATGTTGTGATCAAACTTATGCTTCCATCTTGAGCTAAGAATAAATCTTAAAATCAAGCTCAAGTGGAATGCTAAAGTCAAAGGTATTAGTTCTGTTGGTTGTAGTTACATGGGTCAACGACCATCGAAAAAGGTATATGCCCAAGAATGGATTTCTAGGAGCTATCTAATGTAGCCCTTTGAAAGTGCAACTATCCCTGGGTGGTTTTGGTAATTCCTAACAACATATAGCTCATTGAGCTAATGCTATTTCAAGATAAATATTTCAGGAAAGCTCAATGATTGGCATGGCATGGATGAGAAAAGTGAACCCCTCAAAATACTAACGACAAAAGGATTGGCTCAAGCTCAAAGCACAAGACTCTACATTTTCCATTTTAGTGATCCAAGATCACATTGAGTCTATAGAAAAAGCCAATACTATCAAGGAGGGATGAGGTGTTGCTTAATGAGGTTCTTGCTCAAAATGCTTAGTGAGATGCTCCAAAGCCCTCAACTACTTTCTCACATCCACATATGACCTAAACCAAAAGTCAAACTCAGTCCCACCGATTCTTTCTATCTGGCGCCACCGAGTTCAGATGTCATAGCCACTGCCACAACCCCTAGTCTTTTCGGTCTCACCGATAGGGATCTCGGTCTCACTGAGATGGGATAGTAATCTCTCTATTTCCCTTCGTAACGTTTCGGTCCAACCAAGATGAGCGATCGGTCCCATCGAGATTGCAATGTAAACTCTCTGTTTCCCTTTCGTAACGTTTCGGTCTAACCGAGATGAGAGAATCGGTCCCACCGAGTTTGCCTGACCAACTCTCTGGTTAGCTTATTACCAAAATCGGTCACACCGAGTTTGTGTAATCGGTCTCACCGAGATTACGTTATGCCCTAACCCTAACCACATCGGTCCCACCGAGTTGACATGTCGGTCCCACCGAAAATCCTAACGGTCACATTATTTACTAAATCGGTTCGACCGAGTTTCACGATTCGGTCCCACCGAGTTTGGTAAGTTGTGTGTAACGGTTAGATTTTGTGTGGAGGCTATATATACCCCTCCACCCACTCTTCATTCGTGGAGAGCGCCATCAGAACATGCCTACACTTCCAACTTACATTTTCTGAAAGAGAACCACCTACACTTGTGTTGAGGTCAAGATATTCCATTCCTACCATATGAATCTTGATCTCTAGCCTTCCCCAAGTTGCTTTCTACTCAAATCTTCTTTCCACCAAATCCAAATCCTATGAGAGAGAGTTGAGTGTTGGAGAGACTATCATTTGAAGCACAAGAGCAAGGAGTTCATCATCAACACATCATTTGTTACTTCTTGGAGAGTGGTGTCTCCTAGATTGGCTAGGTGTCACTTGGGAGCCTCCGACAAGATTGTGGAGTTGAACCAAGGAGTTTGTAAGGGCAAGGAGATCGCCTACTTCATGAAGATCTACCCTAGTGAGGCAAGTCCTTCATGGGCGACAGCCATGATGGGATAGACAAGGTTGCTTCTTCGTGGACCCTTCTTGGGTGGAGCCCTCCGTGGACTCACGCAGCCGCTACCCTTCGTGGGTTGAAGTCTCCATCAATGTGGATGTACGATAGCACCACCTATCGGAACCACGGCTCAAAAATCTCCGTGTCTCCAATTGCATTTGCCTCCTCAAACTCCTCCCCTTTACCTTCATATGAAATTGTTTTACATTCCGCCGCTATACTCTTAGAATTGCATGTGTAGGTTGATTGCTTGACTTGTACTAGTTGCTAAAATCTACCAAGAATTAAAATTGGGAAAAGGCTAGACTTTTATTTGGTCAAGTAGTCTAATCACCCCCCCCCCCCTCTAGACATACTTTCGATCCTACAAGTGGTATCAAAGCTTTGGTCTCCATTTTCTTTGATTTCCATAGCTTTTGGTAGTCATAGCCTTGGTTTCACAACCTAGGAGAGTATGGTGTCTAGCGAGGGAAATTACCACCGT